AAGATCCATCTGACATCAGCAATGATATCCCTTGTCCGACATCTTCTTCTTAATCTGACCTGAACTTCTGGCGGTTCCCTGTCAATGTACTGGTGTAATCATTGTTGGATGGTCTTCAGCAAAATTTTATTCCCATGTCCTCTCAATGATATTGTTTTCTAATTTGAGCATCCCATTGGATCACCTTTCTTTGGATTGGGTAGAAATATGGATCTTTTCTGGTCGGTTGGTCAAGTAGCTGTCTGCGTTGGGCTGAGTTGACTAGAGAAACAATTCAGTGACACTCACATATGTGTAAGGAAGAAATTTATATCAAGAAAACATCCCAGCCCAGTCCAACTCAAGTTCATAAGTCTGATATGAGTTGATAAGTCCCTCTGCAGATTCATGCAGTCACATGCAATGATGCAGAATGCAGGAAGATCACAGGTTGGTGAGTGCAAAGTCATGTGCATCCAATGGCAGTGGTAACATCGCAGGGTTCTGGTAGCAATCGGAATCAGCTAGCAGGAAAATGAAGGCAGAGGAAGAGAGAGAGAGAGAGAAAGGGAGTTTCCCGGGGCCCTCTGTATGACAAGGCCACGCCCATAAGGCAGCACCCTCAGGCTGCTACCTGATTGACAGGTTGAATACCACCCCTACACTTTTATATATTTTCAAGTTGACATGAAATTATTTAACTATTCCACTGTCTTCCAAATTTCTGGACATAGACGATTGAGTGCTTTCAGCGCTTCACCAGACTGTTGAAACATTTCACTGGTAAATCACCAATTCCTGGAGTCTTGGTTTTACCTAACTTTCAGTCCAGCTTGAACTTCTTCCTCCAGCACCATAGATCCTTGCTCATATGTTACCCCCTGAAATGGTGCAATATTGATTAGTTCATCTTCGTAAGGTGCTTCTATGTATTATTTCCATCTTCTTTTGATGCTTCTTGTGTTGTTCAGTATTTTGCCCATAGAATCTTTCAATATCGCAACTCAAGGCTTGATTTTTCCCCTTGAGTTCTTTCAGTTAAGATATGCTGAATCAGTTCTTCCTTTTAGGTTTTCTAACTCTGGTCTTTGCACGTTTCATTAGAACATTTGGCCTTGTCCTCCTGAACTGCCTTCGAAATTTTCTGTGCAGCCCCTTGACTTCATCAGTTCCTCCATGTGCCTTAGCGACTCTATGCTGAAGAGCAAGTTTCAGAGTCTCTTCTGACATCCACGTTGATCTTTTCTTTCTACCCTGTCTTTTTAATGACCTATTGCTTTCTTCATGGGTGATATTCTTGATATCTTCCCACAGCTCTCCGGGTTTTCTGTCTTTAGTGTTCAATGCATCCAATCTGTTCTTGTGATGATCTCAAAGTTCAGGTGGTATAGATTCAAGGTCACATTTGAGCTCTTGTAGACTTGCTTTAATTTTCTTCAACTTCAGCCTCAAGTTACATGTAAGCGATTGATGGTCAGTTCCACAGTCAGCCCCTTGCCTGGTTTTAGCTGCTGATATTGAGCTTCTCCGTGATTTCTTCCCACAGATGTAGTCAATTTGATTCCTGTGTATTCCATCTGGAGAAGTCCATGTGTATAGTCGCCATTTGTGTGGTTGAAAAAAAGGTATTTGCTATAAACAAATTGTTGGTCTTGCAAAATTCTATCATGCATTCTCTAACTTTGTTTTTCCCTCTTTGTTTTAAACTTCTGTATTCCATTTGCCAATAGCTATCAATGCATCTTGATTGCATGTTTGATCAACTTCTAACTGACATGTCAGTAGAATTCTTCAATTTCTTTCTCACTAGCCTTAGTGGTTGGTGTATAAATTTGAATAAAAGTAATATTGATGGATTTCCTTGAAAGCAGATAGATATAATCCTATCACAGGAAGCACTGTACTTCAAGATAGATGATGAAATGTCCTTTTTGACAATGAATGCAATGCCATTCCTCTTGATTGTGTCAGTCCTGACATAGTAAACCATATGATTTTCTGATTCAAAGTGGCCAATCCTAGTCTATTTCAGCTCACTAGTACCTAGGATAGCTATCTTTACACGTGCCATTTCATTTTGACGACTTACAAGTTTCCTAGAGTCATACTTAGTACATTCTAAGTTCTGATTATTAGATTTTTTTCAGCAGTTTCTCTCGCCTCCATTAGTAAATGAAGATCCAGAAGCTTCCAAGCCCACAAGCTCTACTCCATTCACCCCACATGATTTGTTTGGTTTTTTGAAAATCATTTTATTTGGGGCTCGTCCAATGCTTCTCACAATCCATACATCCATCCATGGTGTCCAGCACATTTGCACATTTGTTGCCATCATCATTCTCAAAACATTTGCTTTCTACTTTAGTCCTTGGTATTGGCTCCTCGTTTTCCCCTCCCTCCCCGCTCCCCACTCCCTCATGAATACTTGACAATGTATAAATTATTATTTTGTCATATCTTACACTGCCCAACATCTCCCTTCACTCACTTTTCTGTTGTCTGTTGCCCAGAGAGGAGGTTATATGTAGATCCTTGTAGTTCCCCCTTTCTACTCTACCTTTGCTCCACCCTCCCGGTATGGCCACTGTCAGCACTGGTCCTGAAGGGATTGTCCATCTTAGATTCCCTGTGTTTCCAGTTCCTATCTGTACCAGTGCACATCCTCTGTTCTAGCCAGATTTGTAAGGTAGAATTGGGATCATGACAGTGGGGGGCAACTCACATGGCTGAGAAAGCAGCTCCTCCTCAGTCACATTTCCAGTTCTCTGACCTGAGGGGCACATCTTCCGACACTGTTACAATGTTCTCTTCCATTCATTGGACCTTCAGTATCTGACAGTGTTTCAATGCTATGCATAAAGTTCTGATTATTAATAGATTTCTATGGCTCTTTCTTCTCTTTTTGAGCCCCATCAGGAAATGAGGGTCCTGGAGGATTTAGTCCCATAGGCTTTACTCTGTTCACATTACTATAGTCCAGTTTACTTTGAGAAGGCAGCTTTTCCTCAGGCATATTCATTAGGTCTTCAACATCTGAAAATGATTCGATGCTGTAAAGTTTTCATCAGCTAATTCCTCTGAAGAGGGCAGCTGATTCCTTCTCAGAGTCTGTTTTGAGTCTGGAAGCTCTGCCAAAACCTGTTCACTTTGAGTGACCTTGCTGGCATTTGAACGCCAGTGACATAGCTTCTAGCATCACAACAACATGCAAGCAACAACAGTTTCACTCTTCCTCCCTCAAAAAACAGCAGCAAACCAATCGCTTTGCCATCCAATTAATTGACTCTGATTCATAGTGACCCCTATAGGGCTTCATCAGATGTAAATCTTTAAGGGAACAGATATCCCCCTCTTTCTTTCCTGATTGGTTTGTGGGTTTGAAGCACCAATCTTGCAGTTAGCAGTTCCACACTGTGTTAGTCTGGGTTGACTAGAGAAAGAAATTCATAGACACGTATATGTATATAAGAAAGAGCTTTATATAAGAGACAAATTGTATATTAAGAAAACATTCCAGCCCAATCCAGATCAAGTCCATAAATCCGATATTAGCCCATATGTCAAATACCAAGCTATAAATTCCTCTTCAGACTCACAAACACATGCAATGATGCTGAATGCAGGGCAATCACAGGCCAGTGGGTAGAAAGTCTTGTGGATCCAGTGGTGGTAGAAGCATCTCAGTGCTGGTGTGGGTCTCCATGTGGCTCTGGCTGCATCAGTGTAGCTCCATCAGGAATGTCTCATGGGGAGTGAGCCTGTGTCCGGCCTCCAGGGAGCTATTTCTCAATTTAGCACCTTCAAATGAGGTCATGGAGCTGCGACCTGGCAGGCTAAATAAACTCCACCCTTCACTCAACTCATAAGTCTCAAATTGACAACAGATTACGTAACTACCACACACACTTAGTAGACAGTGCCACAGACTTACCTGGTGAAAGATGTCTGCCTTTATCATCGTGATCTTTTAAGAACAATCTACATGGGCTCAAAGTGACATTAGCAATTTGAACGACTAGACAGGAACCTTAGGGGGCTGTGATTGTTTATGTCAAGGCAGGGGTGGGGGGGCAGGCAGAACAATTCAAAACAGGAAGGCAATCGTGGTTGCACAGTTTAATCAGTGTTACTGAACTGTGCCTGTAGTAATGGTTGAATTGGTGTATGTTTTGCTGTATACACTCTCACAACTGCTGCATGATAACATCAAAAAGGGAGAGCGACATTTTATTGGTGTTAACCGGTGAAAAAACAGGAGGCGTGGCAAACGATTTCTCATCCATTTCCTCTGAGCCTCATCCTCTGCTGGTGGGTGTCTGCCTTATTGGAGGTGGTGGTCAGGTGCGTGGGGAATGGGAAGGTTAAGGCATACCTACCTATCCAGACTGCACCCCCGCCTGGACATAAGGTGGACTTTGCCGGGAGGGACAAGAACTTCTGTGCTGGGTCTGTTTGATTCTTAAGGGTGCTCAGACGAACTAACAGTATCCTGTCCTCAGCCATTCATTCCCAAACCAGAAAATAATGCATTCCCTCACCGGTGTAAGTTTTATAACCGCAAAGGTGCCCGTGACCCTGGTGGACGCCTCCCGCCCCCGCCTCTTTTCACAACCGTCTTTATTTTAAATTCCAGAAGAGAAAAGCTATATTCAAACTGCAAGAAAGCCAGCTGTCTTGGGAAGGCTCGGGTGCGCCATCGGAAGGATGCCAGCAGAGCAGGGCGTCGGCGGAGAACCCGCGCTTCCGGCGCCTCCGCCCTCGCAGCGCGGGAGCGATGCCTCGCCGGGCGGTGCTGTCTCTTTAAGGGGGCGGGGCTCCGCCCGGAGGAGGCGGGGCAGTCCCGCCCCCGGATGTCCGGCTTCCGGCTACCGTGTGGGCCTGGAACCTGCGCGGAGCGTCGGAGGCTGCAGCCTTCCCGGGACCCGCGGACGCCGCGCCGCGCCAGGTGAGGCGGCTGGGCCTGCGGAGCGTCTGCCGCCCGGCCGCGTGGCCTGCGCCTCCCCCTGCAACATTGCCTCCGCTTCCGGACAGCTCTTCGCTAGACCCACCTGGGTTCGTGGTTCCCTCCGCTGCCTGGCCCATCACCGTCACCTACCCAAAGTAATTGCCTTCGTCCTGCGCCCAGCGCCTTACATGCGCTGTCCTAACGAGTGCCCCCAACAGCCCGGCTAGGAGGTACTGTTAGGAACCCGTTTTTCAGATGAGGAAACTGAGGCCCCGAGGAGCCCAACGCAGCGGAACCATGAGTCAAACCCAGGTCTCTCTGACCCCAGAGGCTGATCTGCTCGGCCTCTCCTCCCCGGCCCCTTCAGCTACCTCCTTCCAACGTCAGCCTGCCTTTCTCAACGCCTGTCTCCAGACCAGCCCCTAAACAGGAAGCCTCAGTGGGTGAAACCCGATGCAACCTGTAACGCTCAGGATTTTGTTGTTAGGTGCCACCCAGTGGGTTCTGACTCATAGTGACCCCCAGAAGGAAACTCTGGCCCAGTCCTGTGCCGTCCTCACAATTGTTCTAAGTGTTTGAGCTCAGCCTTGCAGCCACTTGTGTCAATGCATCTTGTCCTCCCCGCCCCCCTCCTCTCCATTTGACCAAGGGAGATGTCCTTTCTCTTTCTCCAGGGACTGTTGTCTCCTGATGACATGTCCAAAGCATGTGAGACAGGTCTTGCCGTCTGCGGAGCAGTCTGGCTGTTCCTTTGGCAGCCCATGGCATCCACTCTTCTTCGGTGTTCCTTCCTCAGTGCCCAACTTGTGCATGCATATGATGCGATGGAGAATACCATGGCTCTGGTCAGGCACACCTTAGTCCTCAAAGTAACATCCGGCTTTTCAACACTTCAAAGCTTTACTTTCCCATTTCCCCCCTTTCTTACAATAGGGTTAATAACAAAAAGTCAAAACTCACTGCCATCCACTCGATGCTGATTCATAGCGACCCCTCTGGGTTTCTGAGGCTAGCTGCTTACGGGAGTAGAAAGCCCAGTCTTCCTTCCGTAGAGCTGCTACTGGTTTCAAACTGCCGACTATTCAGATGGCAGCCCATCGAGTAACCACTGTTCCCCCAGGGCGCCTAGTTTTAATTATCTGACGCTGTGTGTTTTTAATAAACCCCACTGGAAAAGTTGGTAAGGGAGAACAGTGCCATTTCTAATGCTAGGATGGTTGCAGATATTTTATCTTGTTATTCCATTAAGTTTATTCTTTTTTTTCTTTTTAGACCCTTACAGATTTCTTCTTAGTAATTGCTTGAAGATCCATTGGCTGAATGGCAGCTGTGGATGACTTGCAGTTCGAAGGTACATCCGTCGGGGACGCACCTTTATGTTTCCACAATCGTGGCAGCAGATTTTCACTCGCATACTGGTGCATACCTTAAGGAAAATGATTTCAAACATCTAACAAAGATCGTGGGTTGACTTTGTTCAGGTTTTTCTCTTTGCCCACACCAGTTTTTCTTTTTTTCAGATTCTGATAACCAAGCACACCCACTGCCACTGTGCCCGTTCTGACTCCTGGTGACCTAATAGGACAGAGTAGAACTGCTCTTTTTTGAGACTGTAAATCATTCTGGGAGCAGAGAGCCTCATCTTTTTCCTGTGGAGTGACTGGTGTGCTTAATCAGCGACTTTGGTAGCTAGCAACCCAGCGCTTAACCCACAGTGTGCCGCCAGGGCTCTATAAATGGTGACAGCTACTGCCATCAATTTAGTACACGGATTACAGAACACTTGTACCATTCCTCTAGTTCAACAGATATTTATTGATTGGAATCACAATGGATACTGGAGATAAAAAGAAAAAGTAGAATTTGATACACCCAGAAAACCAAGTAATTAGCAGAAAGGATCACCTTTAGAAAGTGGTAAAGCCAGGATTTAAACCAGGCAGCTTGGCTCCTCAGCCTATACTGCCTCTCTACTACCAGAAAGAGAGACAAGGTGATTACGGTGAGAGCCAACTCATTGGCGATGCTGTGAGCTCCATCTTCACCATACATCCTGCCATGACCATCCCTGGCAGCTATATAGAGAAGGGGAAACACTCCAGAATGTGTGTTGGATTTTGTATGGGGCCACCCAGGCTGATAAAGTTTAATTGGCACATAATGCACGTAGCATACAATGCAGTGCTTTCAATATACTGAGAAGAGTTGTGTAATCACCACCACAGTGTATTTTAGAACATTTCCTTCATTCTTGTACCCACTGTTATTACATCCTCAACCTCCCCTGCCATTTGCTTAAAGGACTCATCATCTCATGACTTGTTAAGACAGATTTTTGTTCTATAGTTTCTACTTTCATTTTTGTCTGTATACTTTTCAAAGTGATTGTATACATCATTGGAAGAAATAACTCATTAAACTTCTTTGAACTTGGATCAAAGATGAGATCTAGATTGGGTACTGGCTCTGGGCCAGGTACTCTGCAGAGGACTTTACGTAGGTAATATCTCTAATGCTCCCCAAATTTCCTAAAGTAGATCCTATTCTTCCCATTGTACAGATGAGAAGACTGAGGTCTATACAGATTAGTAAGTAGCGGGGCCAGGACTAAAGCCCAGGCCTGACGCCAAATTCTCTCCTCTTCCTCATTTTCCTGGGTCGGCCTGGTTTCTGGATGAGCCGTAACTCACAGCACCAGACAACGTCTACAGCAGAGCTGAGGTTGTAGCGGCGTGGCTGTCAGTGAGTAGGCTGGCATTTCCAGGGTGGGGAAGGCCTCTGATCCCCTTGTCCTCTGATTGGTCTCAGACTTCGGTGATGCAGCTTCTGCTCTAGCAGCAAGCCCAGATGAGACCACGATAAGCATTGAGGATCCCAGTGAAACCCCGAAGCATCAGCCTGGGGCCCCAAGAGGCTCAAGGAGAGAAGAGGATGATGAGTTACTGGGGAACGATGACTCTGACAAAACCGAGGTTTGACTTGTCTTTGAAGTGTTATTTTTTATACTTTCTAACAGTGGGCTCCCGCATAGACTCACCATCCACTGTGCGCCAGGTTCAGTACCAAGCAGTGGCGGCACAAAGGTGAATCAGGCGTGGCCTCTGCCTTGGTGGGAGAGGGAAACACGGTACACAGGGCATTAGTGCAGTGGTCGAGGGAAACGGGGGGTCATGGAAACAAAAAGAAGGGAATTAAGGAAGGCTTCCAGGAGGCAGTGACCCTTAAATGAAACTTGATGCAAAGTGTGCGACTTAGCCAGGGGAAGAGGGCGGGGAAGGGTGATCTAGGCAAAGGGAATGGTTTCCCGGGCAATTTAGAGACATGAAAGATAGGATACAGACAGGAGAGTCAGAACTTGGACCCTCTGGAATCAAAGCAGAGGTGAAGACAGGAGATGAGCCGGAGCTCAACCTCAGACACCAAGACCAGACCCCCTGGCTTCGAGGCCATTCCAACTCAGAGCAACTCACTAGGACAGAGTACCACCGCGCCTGGGGGTGCCAAGGCTGTCAGTCTTCACGGGAGCAGAAAGCCTCCTCGCTCGCTTGTAGAGCGTCTTGTGGATTTGAAACTCTGACCCTCTTAGCAGTGCAGGGTATGACCCACTACCCACTAGAGCTCCTTGAACTCAGCCTAATGAGTATGAATTATATTCTGAAAACTATGGGGGAACTGCTGAAAGGTTCTGAGCAATACGGCTGGAGAGTTAGATGTGAGTCTGCAGAGTGTAAATTGGTGGGAGACAGCTGAAATGGCTGCTTTGATGAAGACGGAAGTAGAGTTGGGCAGGGGCCAGACTCAGCAGGACTTGCTGGGGAAAAGGTAAGGCATGGGGAAGGAGGAGTCTAGGGAGACGTCTAGGTTTCTGAACTGGCTGCAATATCAGGCGGCTATGTTTGATCACAAAGGTATATTTTCATGTATACCATTTTATGTTCCAGCAAAGTAATATTTCCGTTCATGCTTTATAGATCAAATCCTGATGGCAGCGGACTAGCGGAACACTCAGTTTATAGTAGTCATCCACGGACTTAGTAAGCATTGATAGCTCTTGGATGCTAGGGGGTCTTTGTGAAACTCTATGAAATAATTACATGCAAAACTGTATGTGAACCTTGATACCATTATATCCTAGGGATTGTGGCAAAGTTGAGACCGGAGCCATGGAGACCTGAGTTTGAATCCTGGTCCTGCCAGTAGTAATAGCTGTGTGCCCTTGGGCGTGGTACTTTAACTTCCCTCAGCTGGGGTTTCCGCATCTGAAAATATGAGCAAACGACATGTTGACCATTTCCATTATCATCACAAAGCTAATGCTTAAGCAGTGGTTAATAGCTGCCAGCCACCAATTAATGATTGGATTCTCTCATGGCATCCTCCAAACACCTCTAAGAACCAGGTACTATTATTAGTGCCCTTGTTGCCGTGAGGAACCTGAGAGGTAGAGTTTAAGCGGCTCTCCCCAGGACACACAGAAGGCAGGCAGCACACAGGGACTTCCTCGAACTGATGCTCATCACGTCTGTACCAGAGTCAGGGTCGCCCAGTGCTGGTCAGAGTGGCTGGTGTCCTCAGGATACAGACACGGTCATTAGAATGGCTGAACCATAGCAGGCAAAGCAACTTAAAAATGAAAAAAAACCTGTCCGTTATGATTGAGAAGAGGTTGCCAGCATCCCATGATGGAGACAGAATTCTTTGGCCTGGTGCTTGGCTCTCTGCTGCTTGCTAGCTTGTCATGTTAGGGTTGGCAAGAATGGTCAGTGTCCCCTCTCATCCTCCTCCCCTGCACAAAATCACTGCTGTCCTTGGCACTCGAATACCCGCCGTGGCAGACTGCCCATTATGGCGGAGGCAGCCCATGCCATCGTGGGGCAGCCTTAGTGGTGAAGGTCGTTCCTGTGCCGCCATGGGCAACAGCAACAAGCATTTCCCCTGCCCTGCAAGCTGCTCGGAGTCCGTCGGATCTTCCAGTGCCTGAGTGGCCTTCACATACCTGAAGAGGCCAGTCAGGGTTCCTGGTATTGTCCCTGTACTCCACCACTGAAGAGCCATGCTGTGGAGACGACACAGTACTCCCCACGTGCCTCTTCTAACTCGTCTTTGTTTACTGTCATGGCAGTAATACTGTAAGCTTGGAGTGCTTTAGAATAAATAAAACTAACTAGATTTTTCAGAATTTGGATAACAGTGGTAAGGGTCTTGAGGGGCCAGGGGAAGGAAAGACATTTGCTCTGACTGCTGACTGTGTGTGTGTGTGTGTTCAAATGCAATTGCTTTGGTGTATATGCTGTTTGTCTTGTGTATATGTGTGTACAATATACATATATGAGGACTTCAAAAATTTTGAGGGGAAATGAAATTCAGAGATAATGAAATTTTCCATAAACTTTTTGACAAACAATTGTTCATCTCTAATTACCTATAATAAAAAAACAAAACTAACCAGTTGCTGGCAAGTCCATTCCAACCCCCGGCAACCCCATGCATTGTCGTGTAGGGTTTCCCAGACTGAATGTTCAGCAGCATCTTGCCAGGCCTTTCTTCTGAGGCACCTCGGGGTGCCCTTCAGTGAGCAGTCTATCATACTTGCTGTTTGCACCTCCCAGGGCTCCCTGCATATAACATATACTATATAAAATGTTTCACCAAAACCTCTCTATAATCCTATAAGGCAGATTTTGTTAGTCCTAGGGTGATACAAATGGTTAAATGCTCAACAACTAGATCATTGCTTCCCAAAGGGGCTGATACTGCCCCCAGGGGGCTGATACTGACCGCCCCAGGGCGGCTACAAAAGCAGAAGCCTACCTGCTATCACTGCCCTGGATTATGAGTTACAGTACTCAGGGCCGCGAAGTAATATATACCGGTGTATGTTTTTTCTGCGAAGGGAGCTGTCGGTCAAATAAGTTTTAAGACCCTATGTTCCAGGTAGATGATTGATGGTTCACCTCACTCGAGGCTTCTCAGAGACAGGCCTGGCCACGGGATTCCAAAAGGCGACAGCCTTGAAAATCCCATGGAGAAGTTCCATGCTGCACAGGTAGGGTCCCCATGGATTGGAATCAATTCGAAAGCAGCGGAGAACAGCAGCCTGAGGAGTCTAGTGATTTGCTAAGGCTGAGGGAGGAGCCTTGGTAGCATGGGGGGCTACCTGTTGGGCCCCTGATTGGAAGATCAACAGTTCAAATCTACCACCTGCTCCATGGGAGAAAGATGAGGCTTTCTGCTCCGATAAAGAGTCACAGTCTCAGAAACCCACAGGGGCAGTTCCGCCCTGCCCTGTGGGGTTGCTGTACGGAATTGGCTCGCTGGCAGGTAGCATGACCTCACCGCCGATGCTCACTTTATATCAGGCCTGGCTGTTGCAGAATTGGTTTATGAAGGAGGAAGAGCTTGCTCCTTCCCACATCTTGGTTCCCTGTTAGATAGATCAACCTCCTCTTTCCCTCTGCACAGAGGAATTGGGAAAATGCTTCTAAGTTTGTGATGTTTGTTTTATCTTGGGTAGTTACTTGCTGGACAGAAGAAAAGCTCCCCCTTCTGGACATTCGAGTACTACCAAACGTTCTTTGACGTGGACACTCACCAGGTGAGTAAACCAGCACCCCTTTCCTTCTACACCCGACGGAGACCTAACCCATCAAAGGTCATGAAAGCCTCCGTGAAAGTCACCCTACAAATGTCAACAAGTCAGGGCAGTGAGCACTTGAAAACCACTGTTACCGTCAGAGAAGCTCTGATCACTGCATTGCAATTCTGCAAGAACTGAATTTATTAGACTTGAAACACTGACCATCACCAGCTTCAGTAGGCTTCTCGCTATGTTGTCTTCCAGGTCTTTGACAGAATAAAAGGCTCTCTTTTGCCGATACCAGGAAAAAACTTTGTGAGATTATATATCCGCAGCAATCCAGATCTCTACGGTATGTGTGGTGGCATTTTGACTCTTCACCAGAATTCAAGTGAGTGTGAGCTGCCTAGAGAGTTGGAGGAGTGCACCGTGGGTGGAGTGTACCAAGTGTTAGTGATTTATTTTTGTGTTCTGAGCTTTAGTAGTCAACAGTACAAAGCGTTGGGGGAGAAATGCAATTTGGAAACAGCCGAAGTATGCATCAGTAGGAGAAATGGATTAATTGGGGTGTGATTAATGCCATGTTGAAAAGTAATACTATCTCCTTTGGAAGTATTCAAGTAACCTTTCTCTAAGAGGAGGGGTTTAAGTGTTCGATTACTGAGGGGCTGAGTGGCCGGCTGGGTTCCCTTGGGATGTGGAGCAATGGGGACATGGACATGTCAGTGGTACACAAACCGGAAGAGTTTACAAATGCTCATGCCCTGTGACTCAGCAGTTCCTCTCCTAGATGTACGCTTCTAGAAACACACACATGTACGAGAAAACATAGGGTTTCTATGAGGAGGTTATGAAGCCCAGGTCACGGTGGGCTTGAAGGATTTCATGTTTATTGTTAAGCACTGGGGAATCACTGGAGAGTGGCAAGCAGGCCAGAGAGATGGCAAAAGTAAAGGGTACAAGAAAGCTGAGGGCTTGGAAAGTTTTCTTGCTAGGAATCGTGGCCAACCCAAGGGTGAGCTGTTGAGATTGGGCCACACAGGCATGGTGGGTAGGCAGGAGGTGGTGACGTGGCAGGCCACTTGGAAGTATCCTCCCCGCAGCTGTGTCCGAGTCTGGGTTACGTAGCTTAGGACACAAGGAAGCCACAGAATGCTGGTTGTTGTAGTTGTGAGGATCAAGTCGATTCTGACTCATAGCAACAGAAGAACTGCCCCGGTAAGGTTGCTGGGCAAGTCTTCAGTTCAGTATGTGTCACCCTCCCACACACCCTCCCACCCCCACCAGACTTCCTATTGGCTTTAAGATAAGCTCCAAACTTTCCAACAGGACTTCTCTTAGCCGTCATGATCTGACCTTGGTCCTTACCTCCATTCTCTGGCTACTTCGGACCTCCAGCTTCCTTAACCTCAAACTGATCTCTCTGGCGTTTGGGTCCTTTTGCTTATGCTGATCCTTCTTCCTTGACCACGTCTCATCTTTTACTTCCTGACTCCTGCTTTTCCTTAGAATTCAGATTAAATAAAGCTTCCCTGGATTTGGTCGTCACCCATGGGCTCCCATGAGCAGCCTGTACTTTCTCCTGTCAAAGCACTTGAGATGTTTTGTTGACTGTCTGTCTCCCCAAGATAATGGGGTACCCTAGAAACAGTGACTCTTTCTGTTATATATCAGTGCTCTTCCACACCTAATCCAGGCGTAGAGGGTAATGGAGCTTTGTAAATAATGGCTCATAGAAGGACATGGCAGTCTCTGGTCTCTAGTTAAATGGGCACTCTAAATATTTTGTTCACCTGTGGTCATGTGTTGGTGGTCTCAACTACAACACATGGTCAATTTTGTTTAACCAATGAAGGTCTAGATTTTTTATCTGGGGGGAAGTTACTTTGTTTTTCATTTCTTATGTGCTGTACAGTTGGAATGACTCAATCATATTTAATGCTGGGCTGCAGAAGAGAACTTAAAATGTATAATGAGTGTGTTAGTCTGGATAGACTAGAGAAACAAATTCATAGACAATCGTGTGTAAGAGAGAGTTTTATATGAAGGGTAATTGTACCTTAAGAAAGCATCCCAACCCAGTCCAGTCTAAGCCTGTAAGTCTGATATTAGCCCATATGTCTGATACCAATCTATAAAGTCCTCTTCAGACTCACGAAACACATGTAATGATGCTGAATGCAGGAAGATCACAGGCCAGTGGGTAGAAAGTCTTGGATCCAGTGGCGTTGTAAGCATCTCAGCGCTGGCAGGGGTCTCCATGTGGCTTCTCCAGTTCCCAGGACACGGGTCTATCAGCACAGTGCCATGTGTCTTGTCAGTAGCGAGTCTCCAAGGGAGTGAGCAGAGAGCAAGAAGTGTCTCCCTTCTCCAAGGAGGAATTCCCAGAATCCTTAAAGGAAGGCCATGCCCACACAGGCCTCATTGGCTGTGTCCCAATTGACAAGCTAGACTCTACCCCTACACTCCTAATCCTCAAATTGACCCCAGATTATGTACGTACCCTTGGAGGGAAATGAGTAGTCTTTGGGGGGGATTACTGGATATGGTCTGTGACCTGAAAGAGTGCTGGTGGCATAGTGGGTTATGTACTAGACGCTAACTGCAGGGTCAGCAATTTGAACCCACCAGCCACTCTCTGGGAGAAAAGTGAGGCTTTCTGCTCCTGTAAAGATTTACAGCCTCAGAAGCTCAAAAGGGGTAGTTCTACCCAGTCCTGTCAGAATGGACCAGAGGGCAGTGGGTCGGTTTTTTTTAGGTTGGCTTTTGAACTGTCACTAATCCCACGGTACCCAGAGTGTCACTGTGGTCCACCTGCCAGAGTAGGAGAGTGTGTTTCAGTGAGTCTAGCAGGTCCCTGAAGCCATTCTGTAGCAATTTCCCCGGTAATAGATATTCTCAGCAGTGGGCAGGCCCCCCCCCCCCCACCTACAATGGAGTCCTGATTTGTGGAATAAGAGCTAAATAGGAAAAGCCAAGTGGAAGCCATTAGAACTGATCTTACATAGGAAAATATTCCACCAAAACCATTGCCACCTTGCTGGTGGGTTGCAGATGTCGCTGCCAGTATTAAGGACTGGAATGATGCAGTCCCCATTCACCTTGCTTGGTTGACCTGTGCAAAGCATACCTAGATAAACCACATCACATCAGATGCCAGTTGCAGCTACCGTTCTAGGTGGGGTTTCATAGCTTGAGCCAATTCATCCATCAGTTATCTAGCACGCCCTTTTTCTCCTTACCTGTTTTGAAGGAACTCCAAAAGCAGCCGACAAAGCTCGGCACCTCCACCGGAGCCCTGGTGATTTAGTGGTCATGCAATCCACATGGTCAGTAGTTTGAAACCACCAGCGGCTCTGCTGGAGGAAGAATGGACTTTCTACTCCCGTGAACAGTCTCAGAAACCCACAGGGGTTGCTATGAGTCAGCGTTGACTCAGTGACAGTGATTTTGGTTTGGTTTTGTTGATTCTACCTCAAATCTAACACTCTTTAGCCCTATGTCCTAGTTTAGCCCTCAGGAACCTTGGTAGCCTTTCCCTTCCACAAGACATCATACTGGTTAGTTCATTACACCATGCTGACTGGATCTAGTAAGGAAGAATTATCATTGACTACACGAATTGGTAAGACATACATATGCTCAAGGTGGGAAATTAACCCACCAAGAATTCAGGTGCCTTCCCCTTCAATGAAGTTTCTAGAGGTCCACAGGTATGGGGCATGTTGAGATAATTAAGGGAAGGATAAACAAACAAAATTACCAAACTCACTGCCATCAAGTTGATGCCAACTCATAGTGACCCTATAGGACAGGGTGGAACTGCCCCTGTGAGTTTCTGAGACTGTTTACAGGAGTAGAAAGCCATGTTTTTTCTCCCGAGGAACTGGCTGGTGGTTTTGAACTGCTGACCTTGCAGGTGACAGCCCAATGAGTAACTACTATGCCACCAAGGCTCCTTATAAGTGAAGGATAAGTTGTCGTATCTAAACCCTCCCACCACTGAAAAGGAGGCACAATACTTGGTGGCCCTCTTTGGATTTTGGAAGCAACATATCCCTCATTTGGGTGAGGGATCTTTATCAAGTAACTTGAAAAGCTGCTAGTTTTGAATGGGACCAAGAACAAGAGAAGGCTCTGCAACCAATTCAGGTTGCCGTGCAAGCCACTCTGCTACACGGGCATTGATCCAGCTGATCCAGTGGGGCTGCAAGCATCAGCAGCAGATGCTGTTTGGAGCCTTGATGAATCGCGTGCAGACTTCCAGGATTTTGGAGTAAAACTCTGCCATCCTCTGCAGATAACTACTGTCCTCTAGAGAAACAGCTTTTAGTTTAACCATGAGCCGCCAAATCACTATGTTGATTGAGCTGCCGGTCATGAAGTGGCTCCTGTCTGTTTCACGGAATCATAGAGTCAGACATGCACATCCACACTCCATTATTAAATGAAACTCATATATACAAACGGCCTTGAGTAGTACCCGAGGACACAAATAAGTCTCATGAAGAAGTGGTCCAAATGCATATGGCCTTCACCCCTGTCACATTGCCTTCCCTCTCCCAGTCTGAGCGTATGGCTTCATCCGGACTTATTTGGTCAAAAATCCTGCCAGGTTTGCGGATGGTTCCCTGTGATGTGCAGACGTCACTCAAGTGGACAGTGGCAGTAGGGCAACCCCTTTGTGGGATCCCCGCTGAAGGACAATGGTGAGGTGAAATGCTCCCAGTGGGCAGAACTGCAAGAAGTGCACCTAGTTGTTTACTTTGCTTGGAAGGAAAAATGGTCAGATGTACAATTGTATACTAGCCACAGGCTGTGGTCAATGGTGTCTGCAGATGGCAAGGGACTTGGAAGGAACTCAGTAAGAAAACTGGTGATGAGGTTTGGGGAAGAGGCCTGTGGGCTAGACCTCTATTAATGAGCCAACGAAGTGGAGCTCTTCCGTAAATGCTCACCAAAGGTGACCTTGGCAGAGGAGTATTTTAAAATCAAGTGGATAGTAGATATATTCTGTGGAAAACAATTATCCTCTTTCCCTAGCCACTCCAAATACTCATGTATAAAGTGATCATAGTGGTAGGGATGGAGGTTCTGTATGGGCTCAGCATACATGGCCTTCCCTCACCAAGGCTTAACTATCTACAGCCAATCTGAGTACCTAGTCTACCAGCCACAAGACCAGCATGGACCCCTCAATGTGGCACCATTCCTAGGGGAAATCACCCAGTAACCTGGTAGCAGGTTTTACCTTGGACCACTTCCATCATGAAAAGGGCAACATTTTGTTCCCACTGGAAATCCACTTACTCTGAATATGGGTTTGCCTTCCGTGCACCTGATGACCTGATCCACCGTCATGGTATCTTGTACAGCATTGCTTTGGATCAAGCAGCTCACTTCTGGCAAGTGAAGGAAGGAAACGGGCCTGTGCTTGTGGAGTTCATTAGTCTTACTCTTCCCCGTCACACTGAGCAGCTAGCTTGGAAATACAATGGAGTGGCCTTCTAAAGACACATTTGTGGCGCCAGCTAGGTGGCAGTACTTTGCAGGATTGAGGCAGTGTGCTTCAGGAAGCGATCAATACTCTATTTCTCCTCTTGTGGGGAGTCATTGGTCCAGGAATCAAAGGGTGGAAATGGGAGTGGCACCACTACTCCTAGTGATCCACTTGCCAAGTTTTTGTTCCGTGTCTCTGTCAGGGCAGAAGTCGTAATTCCAGAGTAAGTTTGTTAGGTTGCATTTTGTGTCATGGTTTAAGGAGATGTGTAGGTCCCAGTTTGACAAAGGATAGGTTAATAGTGTGTCACCTTGGTCAGGTTAGGTTTATCAGTGGTTTGGCAGACGTTGCCCTTATTGCTCTCCCCCAGTGTAATGTACCGTAATCACGTCCATGATGTGATCTGACGTGATCAGGCTTTCAGTTGTATGGGGAACTCTCTGCATCCAACGTATATGGATGTTCTCACAAGGCTCCCCCTTGCTCTGGATCTTGTGTCTCACTCGTCATTGTCTGACCTTCAGTTCTTGAGAAGTGAGGCAGGGGCGTGCTGTCTGACCTTCCAGTTTTGAGTTTGTCAGTCTCTGCAACCACATGGGTCAGAGGCCTCCAGCTTCAACCCATGGATTTGGGACTTAACAGCTTCCACAACTCCGTGAGCCATTTCCTTGAACCAAAACTCTGGCTATTTTTGCAAGGAGCCCTTGTGGTGCTGCGGGACAAGCATTGGGCAGTTAACTGCACGGCTGGTGGTTGTTGAACCTGCGAGCTACCCTGTCGGGGCAAGATGAGTGGTCTGCCCCCAGATTTAGTCCCAGAAAGCCTACACAGGGGCAATGTCGACTTCATGGTGGGGGGTTTGGTTTTAATGTGTTCAGTATGTTTACGTAGACATGTTTCACTGCTTTTGCTCCTCTGGAGAACACTACTGAAGACATGCCCACACACAGCCATGTGCGATGGTAGGTTCTGTGAATTCCACTCCAAAGGGCTCTGCTTGCGCCTGTCTTCACTGACACTGTAGAAGCTCTTCACTGATCGAAGCTGTTCTTTTTCTGGTATTAACATTGGGCACTGAGATATGGGAAGTAATCTTCTGATATTTTGATGGTGAAAGGTTAACAAAATTATGATCCTCCAATCAAAGAAGCTATAAACAAATCAGTTGTTTATTTACCTAATAGTGGAAGATGTTTTGACTTTGCATTTTGCAAACCCCCCCCCCTCCAAAGTCTTCATGGCAGCTAATTACCCAATTGTATTTTGACCTTTAAAAAGAGACAATTCCCATTAAATGAGTGTTGAGTGTTTCTAACCTTCATTTTCCTTGCTTGTGTGAGAAAGGTGAGGGAGGTAAGAAATGGTACTCTGAGAGTCTACACATGGCTGCTTCGTTCTGGTCACTGAGTTTTCTGGTCTTCTTCGCAGGCCCCTTTTGGATATGTGCCACACTGGTCTTTGCCATCGCAATCAGCGGGAACCTTTCCAACTTCTTCATCCACCTTGGAGAGAAGACTTACCATTATGTGCCCGAATTCCGCAAAGGTTAGTGAATAGCCTTGCCTCAAATGGGATGCTTTCAGCACATGAGCGTGGTTGCTTTCACCCTGTGAATTCTAGGCCCTTCCTCGGGTGCTGCGGCCCCTGCTTTTTGTGTTTAAGGGTTCAGACAGTCCAATTGTCACAGAATGTACCACCTACCATTATAAATCCACACAATCTTTTGGAAAGCTGTTGGGCAAAACCTGGTAGCCACTGACAATCTGTCTTAATAAAAATGTACAAAACAAGTGTAAAGCAGTGTGCATGTAGGTCTTCATGTAGTGTTGTGCACACCGTACAAACACTGGAAACAGTTGGGCATTATTGTTTAAGTTGTGAGGGCTGACCAGGCTGGAATAGCCTGTAGCCACTAATTATAAAGCATCTGGACTATTAATTCATTAATTACAAAGCATCTGGAAGGAGCCTTGCTGGCGTAGTGGGTACCTGTTGTGCTGCCGACCGCAAGGTGTTGGCAGTTTAAAAACGGCTCTGAGGAGCTTGCAGGTGGCGAACCCCTCTAAATGAGGAGTTGTGACTTTGTCGGGGGATTGATTGCCCTGTTCTGTGCCACTTTATCTGTTCTCTCGCTTCCCCCACCAGCCTGGGCAGGACCCTGGACTCTGGAACCAGACCACTGACGTCAAATTCCAGCTCATTACTTGAGCTTCAACTGTGGGCAAGTTATTTCATGTCTCTTAGCCCCAGAGCCCTCATCAGTGACGTGAGAAGCATAATAAACCCGCATTCCTGGGTTATCTTGAAGATAAAGGAGCCCTTGCAGTACAGGGTAGCTATGAGTCCGAATCGAATCAGTGGCAGTGAGTTTTTGAGTTTGTAGCAAAGTGGGTTACAGGTTGGGTTGTTAACTGCAAGTTCAGCAGTTCAAAGTCACCAGCTGCTCTGCAGGAGAGAGATGAGGCTGTCTGCTTCCATTAAGAGTTACAGCCTCAGAAACCCACAGGGGTAGTTCTACTCTGTTCTATATGGTCGCTGTGAGTCGGAATTGACTTGATAGCAGTTGGTACTCAAAGTGACAGAATTGGCATGTGGAAAGAAGTCCATGTGTGGAAAGGAGTGCAATTAAATACCTGTGCTATTTCCGTTTGTACATATGCATATGTATGTATGCGTGCATTTGTGCATATAAGTCAATAAAAACGCCTTTCCTTCTTTCCCCTCCCTTTCCGTCCATGCCCACTTTTCTTCCCGTCTGTCTCCATTAGGGAGTCAGGCGTGGACTCGGTCCCAGCTCCACTTACCAAATGACGTTTGGCTCTAGTTTACCCCAATAAACGGCACCCATGAGCTGTAGACCCTTCCTTCAGGTAGCTCAATGGTTAGGAAAGGGAGATGAGTATTATCATAAACAATATGCGTCTACTTCTCGATTCGGGGTGTGTACCAGCTCACTGATGCGGAAGGACTGAGCCACCTGCCTGGGTGTGGGAGCCCAGGAGCATCTTTGGCTTGGTTGGGCTTGGCTGGGCATCCCAGTGTCCCAGTGGCAGGGAGTGGTGGTATGTAAGCACCAATAAGTGGTGGTATGTATGCCCAGCAATAGACAGGTTTCCATTTTATGTTAAGAGTATAGGTCAGACCTGGGTTCAGGTCCCGCTTGTACTACTAAGTATGTGAACTTGACCAAACATCTACGTGTTAGCAAAAATATGAAAGAGAATTCATTCTTGGTTGAGCATTTATGTATCTCTGTTGCTAGTGTAGAGCCCTGGTGGTGGTGGTGGTCACTGCTAATCACAGAGATTGGTAGTTCAAACACACCAGCCATTCTGTGGGAGGAAAATGAGGCTATCGGCTACCATAAAGTTTTACAGCCTGAGAAACCCTATATTGGGTTGTTATGTATTGGTTTGGGGTTTGTTTCTAAGTACATCTGTTTTGACTTATTTAATTCTCATATCTTATAAGGTACCGTAGCATTATTCCCATTTTACAGATGAGGAAACTAAGATAGAAAGATTAAGTAACTCACTGCCCAGGGCTGCAGAGTTCGTAGCAAAGCTTGGGTATGAGCCCACGGAGTCTGGGTGCAGAGTTTGTGCCCTTGACGACCAACTGCTTTGCCTCGCAACGAGCACTCTGGCTGACACCTCGCTCCTGATAGCCAGAGTCGGCATTCCCTTCCCCTTCTCTTAGTGCTCGAAGACAAAACAGAAGTAAGGGCAACACATCAGGAAAATTGCCCTTGACTAAATGAGGAGTTCCCAGTGCGCGAAACCTGCTCTGGGAGCTACAGCTATTGGACAGTCGTACGTCTGGACCAGACTCTCACTGTGATGCTCAGTGTGCCAAGAGCCTGAAGTGAATTACCTGCTGGTCTTCACGGGGAAGGGCTGGTGCTGCAGGCCTGGCCACGCTTGACCACCCTCCACTGCAGAAGAGGGAAAGGGATCCTCTGGAGGAGGGGCCGTATGGACTGAGCATTGCTGCTCTGTAGCATTTCCACCAGAGAGACCGAATCATTTGAAGAAGAAAGTGAAACTGGAGAATATTTCCAGCAATTCATCAATGAGCTGGGGAACTCCCCATTTCAGAGACAGGAGGAACTTGAAATAGCACGCAGAGCAAGTTAATCTGTACCCAGGGCATTTTAATAAATTTGCTACCGAAATCAATGTCAGCTCTTGTTCTACTAGGAAAGAGGACGTGTTCTTCCAAGGGAATAGTTGGCTTCTATTTGATTGACATGTTCAGTATACTTGAATACGTGTAGTGTGGCCCTCTGAAGCATTTTCAGTTACAAAATTCTGTTGTTCAATAATATTAGCTGTTAGGTATTTAGAAAGGGTTATGAAAACCATTTGAGAGACTGCTGGTCTCCCCACAAAGACATATGCTATAAAGAGTCCTGAGTTTGACAAGCATGTATAGTGCACTTACCAGGCATCAGGTAGGAGGCTCAGGGATGACGAAGAGCAAGAAGGAAGAATGCCCTGGCAGTCTCTCCTGCACAGTCACAACTCTGAAAGCTCTATGGGGCCATTCTCCTCTATCCTGTAAAGTCGCTACGAGTTGGAATCCAGTGGTCAGCAGGTAACAGCTATTACAAGCACCAAGTATTGGCAGTGCTCTCGGTGTGAATAAAGGCGTGGCAGAGATTAAAACCTGTGTCCTCTCCTCAGTGTCCATAGCAGCTACAGTCATCTACGCGTACGCCTGGCTGGTTCCTCTCGCTCTCTGGGGCTTTCTCGTGTGGCGTAACAGCAAAGTCATGAACATCGTGTCTTATTCCTTCTTGGAGATCGTGTGTGTCTATGGATATTCACTCTTCATTTACATCCCCACGGCAGTAAGTATCAGCACGTAGGGAGCAGATTCTGGGGATTGAATAGCCCACCGGCATCATTATTTCCACCCTAGCACCAAACCCTCCTGAAAAACACCCATTGACCTTAAACGTTCAGCATGGGTGGGGCTGGCGAGCCAAGGGCCACGACTTGATCTTGAGCCCTTCGTCAGGAGAGCACTGGCCTCCAGTGGCGGGTGTTGGCTCTCCGGGCTGCCCTGAAAAACCAGAATGGCAGTGGGGTCCGGCGGCTGAGTAGCTCTGGGACAGTGGTGAACGTCCATGCCTGGAGGGAATCACTCACTGCCTCTCTGAAGTGGCTCCTAAGATCCCCTCTCTCTCCCCGGCCTTTCTCCTCTTTCAGATCCTGTGGATTATCCCCCAGAAAGCTGTTCGTTGGATTCTAGTCATGATTGCCCTGGGCATCTCCGGCTCGGTCTTGGCGATGACCTTCTGGCCAGCTGTTCGGGAAGATCACCGACGCATTGCGGTGGCCACGGTTGTGACGATTGTATTGCTTCATACGCTCCTCTCTGTGGGCTGTCTGGTATGCCCTCACTCCTGACTTCTGGGGCCTTGATGTGCAAGTGCTTAAAGACCTCAAACTGTTACACAGGATGGCCCCTTTAAGACGGCATCATGAGATAATTTTCGTTTTAAATCGACTCTCCTGAGTGGCAAGAGATCAACTTAGGAAAATTTCATTGCAACATCTGGCATTAGCTAATTTCAGACATTTGGTTAAGATCTAGTATCTGGCCAGAGAAGGGATGGGTGGATGAAGGTCTGTCTATAAATGAGATTGAAGGACAGGTCTCAGGGGCATTCTGCCTTTGAATGTCTTTACTAGTTTTTATGTACGTATGAGGGCTCAGTCTAAAAGTACTGCTATCATATTATAGAAACCTCGATTAAGCAAAAATATCGAGAGGTAAAGCTATTGTTTCTCAACATATCCTACATCTAGGTCAATACAGTTCTGAAGGTGATGTTTCCATTTTTCTGACCCTTCCTTAAAGGAGTCTGTTAATGACCCCGTGCTAAGACGGCAGGGTGGGCATCCTCAAAGGCCTCCCCTCACGCTCCTTTTCGATGTTCTTGGAGATTGGAGAACAAAGAGAAGCCGGAAGGGGCAAGGTCAGAGCTGTAGGCTGGATGGATGAAGGTTTCTCAGTGAAAGTCTCAATAGGACAGCTCTCATGCCCTTGAAGAATGAGCCCGTGCAACTCTCCTGGTCTTTTTCTTACCTGTTCAGTTTTCAGTTTTTTTTTGTTTTTTTTAATCCTTCCTAACAAGCTCCCTTGATCATCCTGTGTTCTTTGAGAGCATCTATCAAGATGCTTACCCCTTTGGAGTCCCCAAAAGCCGCCACGAGAACCTTGGGAGCTCATCTCACTGCCTTGTAGATCTCCGTGGAAGCCACTGTTTTTTTTTTTTTTTTTGACTTTTCCCTTAAAGGCTCCCTAATGAGATTTAGACAAGTGCATTACCGAGAGAACCAGTCTGCACCGTTCACTGATGTCAAGACCTGTCTGAACACGGTTTGTTTGGAATAAACCCTAGAATTAGAACCAGGTAGCAGTGCTTTTTTACTTAGCCTCAAACCTACAAAGATTTTTGAAATGTAAAGTTTCATAAATAGACATGTGGGAATTCAGTCAAAGTGGAGTTATATTAAGGGCCAACAACATTTAAACTCATACCAGTACTTAGGTGTCTTTTTAGGAGCGCACGTGCCTGTGAGCCTAGATTGAAGACCAGCCCTGTCACTCATTGGCTGCTTGAGCTTGGGCGTGATGTCTAACTTCTCTGACTCTTAATTTCTTAACTTGTAACATGGGTTTAATATTTCTGTATACACTGTGTGCAAAAAATTTCTGTCCGTGCCCTTAGCAAGCCCTGATGTGATTTTTTTTTTTTAAAATACAAGGTCTAAGAACTTAAAGCCAATAATGAAGGAAAGGACAGGCCTGTGAGAGGCTGTCTTGATGCACTAGATTGTCTACCTAGCACGTGTCTAGATCTTTGGTCACTTTTTGCAGTTGTGGGAATAGATATTTGACACCAGGTGGTCTTTGATATTTTTGCACAGGCATCCATTCTCATTCATAAGATCCCTTTATTTCATCATTAAACAAGCCTCCTGCAAAGTGCAGAGTCCTGACATGCAGACCTGTTGTATGTACATTCCACACGTGCCTTGGGGTTAAGCTCTTTGGGGTTAAGGATGGCTGGTTTGACTCCTGGCAGAGTGACTCTATCTGTTTCTGGCACTTGCAACCTCTGGGTCAGTCCCTTAAAAAGCTGCCGTGACCTTTCTGTCTGCTGAAGAAGAGTCTCTTTCCTTTCTCACTGTGTCCCACTGGTACCTTCCTCTCCCCTGATTGTTCCCTCTGCCTCGCTGAGACGATGGTGAGGAGGAGCAGGCAGGCGAGAAGCCCTTGCCCTGCTCTGTCTTTGGGGGAGAGGAGCAGGGCAGACGGGATGATGGAGCAGGAGGTGTTGTTCCCTTCAGAAGTGTCAGGAGGCCATGTCACTGGTACCTGCGGCAGGATCGTTGGCCTCCTGTGCCTGTTACTCCTATGGGGTTTACTTACTCACCCTGCTGCCCATGAACTTCCTGAAGGAGAGCACAGTGATGCAGGGCCTCGGAGCCCTCCCCCTGTGACGTGCATAACTCTCAGAACCTCGGTTTTCTCACCTGTCACAGAGATTGGTACCGTCGCGAGCTTTCGTGAGACTCGGGAAGGTGGCCATGAAAGCCCTTCTTGCACTGTGAGGGGCTCTTTAGACGTTAAGAAGTTATTCAAAGAACCCCACGGAATTAGAAGCTAGCAGCTTGTCGGTTGTTTATTCCTTCTTGAGGTTCTAGTAGGCATTGTCCAAAACCACACCACTAAACCTTGAGCCTCCCACTGTAAAGACAGTGCACTTTCCATGGCGACTAGCTGATTCTCACTGGCACTGTGCCGTCTCTCAAACTTCGTACCCGTCCTGAGTGAGCAGAAGGCAGGAGGAGAAAAAGTACCTCCTTGCTCCGCGCTCTACGGGAACCAGAGCAGCAGGGCAGGCTGGACCACGGAGTGCAGAGGTAATGGCCTGTGCCGGAGCACCTACTCTGTGTCAAATGCTTCTTGGAGGGAGGGCGCAGTTTTCTTTTTACCAGGCAAGCTAACCTCTGGTCAGGAGCCTGCTGTGCCGAGGTCTTGTGCTTCACGCTGGTGAAGGGCAGCCGCAGGCCCTCCCTGCTTTGGCTCATGCCCGGCTCTGTCTCCTCCCTCAGAAAAAGGAGCTGCTCGTGCTGTAGCAACAGCTTCCCTGTGGTTGTAAGGGTTGACTGGTAGGCTGGCAACATGAACAGTATGACCAGCCATACAACCAGAAGACATATTATTATTGCAAGGGCAGAGCGGAATCGGCAGGGGAGTTATTTGAGCTGAGGGACACCGGCTGAGCCAGACAGCTTGGCTTTCCCCTTTCCCCAGGGACACCCGGGGTGGTGGTGTTGCCTCGGTGCAGTGAAGCATGTGACAGCCCCACATCTGCTGAGGTCCCTTGGCACTTGCACGTGTAAACCATCCCTACGTTTGCTCTGGAGCACACCTGGAGTGCTGGCCAGAGGAGCACCCAGAGCATGTGGCCTTGGCCCTGGGTTTGGAGACCCACGCACCCTGGCGTGAGGTGGACACCGCCCGTCATCCAGAGCTTTCTGATGGCCAATGGCCCTCGCCCTAGCCTCACAGTGCCTGGGTGGTGTTAGCTGCCATCGCATCAGCCCGTGGCTCTGGGGACCCATGCATTCCAGAGTTTCCTTGGCTGTAATCTTTACTGAAACATGTCACCAGACTTGTTCTGTGGAACCGCTGGGTGGGGTTGAACTGCTAAGCAGATTAGTAGCTGGTTGTAAATGGCTTGTGCCACCCAGGCTCCTGCCTCCAAACAAAAACCAAGCCCCTGCCATTGAGTCGATGGCAGCTCAGAGTGATCTCTTTAAGGTTTTCAAGACTGAATCCGTTCTGGAGCCGACGGCCTCCTCTTTCTCCCATGGAGCCCCTGGGAGGCTTCAATTGCTGACTTGGTGGTCAGCAGCCCACAGCCTGCGTCAGCCTCAGGGCCACCACTCTAGGTGCCACCCAGCGGCTGTGGTGGAAAGCGGAGCATCGCCTTTGGAGCCGGGCCCCGCTGGATTCAGATCACACGGAGACACGTGTTAGTTGTGTAGCCTCTGGGGACTGTAACGCTTTGACCCGCAGCGCTCTTGTCTGGAAAACGTAGACAAATGGCTTGCTTCAGGGCTACGGAGCAGCCTGATGCGGAGGTCTCTCTGGTGTGCAGTAAGCACTGCCCAAATGATAGCTGTGGTGGAAGTAACGAATCATGGGATTGTTGCTTGTTCAAAGACAGACCCCGGAGATCATCTTTCCCAACCCTTTCATTTTACAGAGAGGCAAACAGAGGTGCACAGGAGGGAGTCTCGGAGCGAGTTTAGAACCTGGGCCTCCTGGCTCCCTCAGCCTGGTGAGGGTGCCCTCTATGTGCCTGAGGACTGGCAGGGTAGGCCCTGTTCCCACCTTCCGTTGGGACTGTTCTTTCCCTGCCTCAGCAAACAGCTGCAGTGAGGAGGCCTGGAGAAGGCCCTCCCAAAGCAATGGCGTTCTTCCAGGACTCTCGACAGGCTAGACAGTCTGTGGAAAAGGCACTCAGGTTTGGGGCGCAGTGATGGCGTGTGCTGGGGGGAGCTCCAGTGTGTTGTGTTGCTGCCCCCTTTTGGCTAATAGGGAGCAGAGCTGGTGAACTGCTTCTCGACTTGGGTTTTTAACTTTTACTTTCTTAAGGTGCAAGAGAAGCTTTGGTGGCACAGTGATCACGCATTGGGCTGCCATATGCAAGGTCAGCAGTTCGAAGCCACCAGTTGCTCTACAGAAGAACGATGGGGTCTTTCTCCTCCTGTAAAGAGTTACCATCTTGGAAACCCGCGAGGCAGTGTAGGCTTGCTCCGAGTCAGAATTGACTTGATGCGAGTGAGTTTGGTCTTTGGGTTTTCTGAAGGCACTGGCTCCAAGGGGCAAGCCTGAGCATGCCCTGGGCCCTGGCACACTCACAGATTCCCTGCCTTGCATGCGGACAGTGGCTAGTGAGCCCAAGGTTTTCCTGGGCCGGAGTTAGGATTCTCAGACCGTGAAACCTAGGCGGAAAGGTCCTCCCCAACATCATCCCTCTCCACCCGTGTCTGACGTGTGACTGTGAACTTGTAGGCAATGAGTGGGGCCCTCATCCAACCTTTAGGCTCCCAGCTGGAGAACTGAGGAAAGGCACACTGTTCTGGTAAAGGTCTGCAGAGAGCCCGATGGGTGCAGCAGCTGCCCCTCTCAGCCAGCAGAGGGTGCGTGCTCCATGTGAGTTGCTGGTGGTGCAGAGATGAAGGCAATGATGAATATGTATCTATGTTATATCTACGTAGACAAGCAAGGCTGTGCAGTGCAGGGCTTCGGAGCATGAGAAGGAGCAGTGGTGAGGCGCTTGGCTGCTGCCTGGAAAGTTGGCGGTTCGAGCACCCAGCCACCACGTGGGGAGAGAGCAGAAGATGAGCCTAGAGACAGCAGCCTAGAACACCTGTGGCACACTTCTACTCCATCACACCGGGTCCCGAGGGGTCAGACCGACTGCTGCCAGCTCCCTGAGCCCGCGCTCGAGTCAGACAGACCTCGCTTTGTGTCCTGGGCCTCATTGGCCAGGTGTGCTTGCTCCAGTGAAAGTCTCTCTGATCTTCCGTTGTCAAATGCGGGCCCAAACCGCTGTCTCACAAGGTTGCCGTGAGGATTCAGCCAGCTCATGTAAATGGACAGTGGAGATGGAAGCCAGGTTTAAATAGGCATCCACGTCGAGTAGGAGAGTGGGGATCATTCAGGGCGGCACAAAGATGGCAGAGGGTAACAAAGGGTCCAGAAGGACCGTCGCTGTGGAGTCCGAAAGAAGACTCACCAGAGACGTGGTTTCTGAACTGCCCTCATTGTTCTCTCTTCTTCCAGGCATACTTTTTTGATGCGCCAGAGATGGACCATCTCTCACCTACAGCTTCTCCAAACCAAACAGCGGCCACGGCCAAGTCCAGCTAAGCAGAAGGTAAGAGACGGTGTGGTGAAAACAGCAGTTGCCTCAGCTAGCATCCAGACTCTGCTTTGAGCTTTCTGTACCAAGTGTGTGTGTGGGGGGGGCGGGGCGGGGGGGGGAGGTGCATGTACACACCTATATATATTTATATATATGTATAAATCTTTATTGGGGGCTCGTAAAACTTATCACAATCCATCCATCCATCCATTGTGTCAAGCACATTTGTACATTCGTTGCCCTCATCATTCTCAAAACAGTTGCTTTCCACTTGAGCCCTTGGTATCAGCTCCTCATTTTTTTCTCCTCCCTCCCTCATGAGCCCTTGATAATTTAGAAAAAATTTTTTCATGTCTTACACTGCCAATATCTCCCTTTACCCACTTTTCTGTTGTCCAGCCCCCTGGGAGGGGGTTATAGATAGATCCTTGTGATCGGTTCCCCTTTTCTCCCCCCACCTTCCCCTTATCCCCTGGTATGGCTACTCTCAATATTGGCCTAGGGGTTTATCTGTATAGGATTTCCTGTGTTTCCAGCTCTTAGCTGGTCTAGCCGGATTTGTAAGGTAGAACTGGAGTCATGATAGTGGGGTGCGGGGAGGAAGCATAAAAGAACTAGAGGAAAGTTGTATGTTTCATCGGTGCTATGCACCTGTCTATCTTTTAAATCCACGTGGGGTTGGCTGTATAGTCGGGTTCTTCTGGAAGAGGCCTTGCCTTTCAGTCCCGCGTCCCTGCCCCTCGCCTTCCTATGCCTTTTCCAACTGCACAGTGACCTGGGCTTGTTACATTTGACCCAAATCCTGCTGGGGTTTTCCAGTTCCTTTGTGACTTAGCAGGTTGGCCTAAGACCCCGAGCAGGATCTGTCTTGAAGTAGTCGTGGGGATCTTCAGTGATAACAAATTTCCTGCCTGGTTTGTTCATAAGGCTCTCTCTTTTTTTTTTAAAATCATTTTATTAAGGGCTCATACAACTCTTAATCACAATCCATACACACATCAATTGTGTAAAGCACATTTGTACATTCATTGCCCTCGTCATTCTCAAAGCATTTGCTCTCCACTTAAGCCCCCGGCATCAGGTCCTCATTTTTCCCCTCCCTCCCCGCTCCCCCCTCCCTCATGAGCCCTTGATAATTTATAAATTATTATTTTGACATATCTTGCCCTGTCCGACATCTCCTTTCACCTACTTTTCTGTTGTCCGTCCCCCAGGGAGGAGGTCATATACAGTTCCAAGGCCCTTTTTTTTTTAACGTGTTGAAAATACACATTACATACAGAACATTTACTAACCCAGCAGTCGGTACATGCACTGTTTGGTGACCTTGGTGACATGTTTTGAGCCGTCCTCGCCCTTTTCTGTGAGTTGCTCGGCACCTGTTGACGCAAACTCTCTCTCTGCCCCTAAGGTTCCTGCGCAGCTCTGAGTCGCTGTGGTTACTCTGATCCCTCAGACAGTCCTTATAGAGAACAGTGCTCAAGACAGACGTTCTGAGCTGAACTATTATTTGGGTTTGAGAAGACTTCAGAGGGTATTTTTTAAAAAGCATTTTACTGGGGCTCATACCGCTCTTATCACAATCCATGCATACATCCAGTGTGCCAAGTGTATTTGTACATTTGTTGCCATCCTCCTCAAAACATTTTCTTTCTGTTTGAGCCCTTGGTATCAGCAACTCATTTTTTTCTCCTTGCCTCCCTCCCTCTCCCTCCCTCATGAATCCTTGATAATTTATAAATTATTATTTTTTTCATGTCTGACACTGACCAGTGTCTCCCTTCACCCATTTTTCTGTTGTCCATCCCTCAGGGAGGGGGTTATATGTAGATCCTTGTGATCGGTTCCCACTTTCTCTCCTACCTTCCCCTTACCCCCCTGGTATCTCTACTCTAATTGTTGGTCCTGAGTAAAGATTGAAGTCTTAAAGATTATTTCAGGGCAGTAGTTTCAGGGATTCATCCAATCTTTGTGATTCAAGGAAATCTGGAGCTCATGAGAATTTTAAATTCTGTTCTGCATTTTCCACAATTTTGATCCCGATTCGTCTGTGGGATTTCTTCTTCTTATTATTATTATTATTATGTTTTTAACAGTGCTGGAAAATATTAGCCAGGCACCCAGTTCTTCTGGTCTTGTTCGTGGAGGCACTTACTGCACGTCCCTGTTCTTGGGCTAATCCTGACTCTCCTCCCTCCTTGCTTCTTCCCGGTGAATAGAAACCAGCTGTGGGTGGTGCGCATGTACTCACGTGTGAGGCAGGTACTTCTGTGTGTGAGGTGCTGGTGAGACTCGTCTTCACGTGTGTGTTGATGGGTGCGTGAGGTGGGTGTGGCCCTCTCATTCCCTGTCCCCTGTCACAGGTGGTGTGTCCCCCAGCCCCCTCAGCCCCCGACAACTGCAGTTAACGTGGCTGGGGCCGTGTCCCTGATGAGGTGCTAAGGGACAGCCGGCCACAGGCCCCGAGCACACACTCAGGTCGGACTCGTGTTGGTATGGTGGCCTCCATCCCCAGATCCCTTGTGTACATTTGTGGCACGTGGAACATTTCCAGCAAAGTGAAGCAAATTTATTTAGAAGCAGAAAAGAAAGAAAAACTAGTTGGTATGCTTTGAATGGCTGCTCGACCACTTTTAAGACCCAGCCAGCACTATGCGATTACCTAGGAGGCAGAGCAGAAGCACTAAACATGTTAGTAGGCCAGTTAACCAGGTTGTCCCATGAAACCATGACCCCAGACCTCTAAACCAAGGAACCAAACTCCACGAGCAGCCTCAGCAATACTATTTCTTTTGGTCATTGTTGTAATCCAGCACACAACTTCTGCCGATTTAACTTTTTATAGGTTGACAGCCAATTGGCAGCAATTACAATAATTGGCAGTGCAGCCCTACTCTTGATGCAGTTTTTCCATCGCCATTGACCCCCCTCAGCCCTCCCTGCTTACCCCCTAGTACTCACTAGTTACTTTGGTCACTGTACCAAAGTTACCCATATGCCTCTTCTTGTCTTTTAATGTAAATGAAGTCATGCAAGCATTTGCCCATTAAGGATTGGTGTGATTTGCTCAGTGTGGGATCTTCAGGCTTCATCCTTACTATGGCACATGTCAAGATTTCATTTCTCCTTCTGGCTGAGCAGCATTCCATTTTACCTGCGGACCGCATGGTGCTGATCTGATCCAGTCAGCTGTTGAAGGCGTTTAGGCTGTTTCCACCTTTTGCTATTATGAACAGTGCTGCAAGGAACACCGTTATACAGGTCTCTTTTTGAGTCTTTCAAGGAGCCCTGGTGGCCTTGTTGAGTAAGCTTTAGACTGCTAAGCACAGGGAGGCAGTCAACCCCACTTGCCATTCCACAGGAGAAAACTGGGGCTATCTGCTCCCCACGAAGATTTATAGCCTCAGAAACTCTATGTAGGGTCACTCTGAGTTGTGATCAACTCCATGGCAGTGGGTTGTTTGGGGGTTTCAAGCCGTTTGGGTATATTTACCTAGGAGTAGAATTTTTGAGTCCCAAGGTAGTTCTGTGGTTAGTTTTTTGGCAAGCCACCATACCATTTTTCACAGTGGCTGTACCATTTTGCATTTACACCAGCAAAGGATGATAAGTGTTCCAGTTTCTCCCCATCTGAGCCAACATTTGTTATTTTCTGTTTGTTGTTGTTTTTACCGTAGCCATCCCAGTAGAGTGTGATAGTCTCTCATGTGGTTTTGATTTGCCTTTCTCTGATGGCTAATGACACTGAGCATCATATCATGTGTTTGGTGGACATAGAAACATCCTCTTTGGTGAATTGTCTATTCAAGTCCTTTGCCCATTAAGGCATTTGGCTTTTTGTGATGTTGTCAAAGTTTTACAAATATATTGATTATTAAGTCTTGTCAGGTAGGTGGTTTTTAAACATAGTCTCACAGTTGGTAATTTGTTTTTTCACTTTTTTGGTAATGTTTTTTGGTGAACAAATTTTTAAAATTGATGATGTCTCATTTGTTTATTTTGTCTTTTGTTACTTATACTTTTATATTAGATAATCCATTGTTGACAGGCTTTGGCATCATTACCTTTGCTTCCTCTTCTAAGAATTTTATGGTTTTAGTTTGTTCATTTAGGCCCTTAATCTATTTCGAATTAGTATGGTGTGAGGCAAGGATCCTATTTTCATTGTTCTACATTTTTTTCAGCACCATTTATGAAGAGTTTCTTTCTTTCCAGGGTGAGTACAAGGGGGTACCCCCCCCAAAAAATGGGGAGAAGCCCCACTGGGTGGAGCTTTCATAGTACACATTTTCCCCACTAGGCAAGCTTAGAGCAACTCACTCTTAGTGCACCCAGTGGCATTGCCTGGGAAGGTTCTCTTTGGTCACAGTGAATTTTTTCATGAAAGCAGTTTTGCTCAAGCCTCATTATTTTTTTGTATGGCCAATTTAAGAGAACAGTGTGCAGCTATGAAATTTTGTTTCCGGTAGGCCACTGGAGATCCCCTTGCAGAGGGGTCTCGGGGAGGAGACGAACCAGTCAGGGTGCGATGTAGCAACGATGAAAAATACAACTTTCCTC